CCTCAACAGGGTGTTTAGAAGCTCACTATGGAAGACATGCAAAGAGAAATTGTCCAACTGTAACAGAGGCTTACCACCTTTGTGAAAATAACCATAACAGTTACTCACCAGATCTAGAGGAGGAAGTAAATCCTTTATATCGAGAATTTTCTAGTGACAAAATCAATATTTCAACGATTTGGCATGGAATATTAGTGGAAAATTCAGGATCTTGCAATAAATGTAGATTTACTAGATTATGACGATTGCATTGATCCAAACAAGTTTATCAAGTGGTTCCAAAAAGTGAAATGAATTTTTTAATACAAAGATGTTCTTCAAGATAAAGTTATCAAGCTTAAAGAGAACGCTTTCTTGTTGTGGGAGAAGTGGAAGAGTCTTCAACGACTATAAAAAAAAAGTAACATCACTACATGGTCCAACATGAAACTAGAAATGCAATGCAAGAACATATCAGTTCATTACAGACATGACATATTCTTGAAACTTCATCACTTACAACAGCAAGATATCTCAATAGAGAAGTACACAGCTACGTTCGATCGTTTCATTTAAAGTGGCAACTAATGGAACCTGATGAGAACATCATGGCTCAATATCTTAGGGAATAGAGACTATCCATTGGCAACGTGGTACAGTTATAGCCTGATTGAATATTACATGTTTAGGCCCTAGCTTTAAGGTGGAGAAACGTCATCGGGTGATTGTCGCACATTACAGGCAAAGTTCAATCCTAGAATCAGACAGCAAAAGTACACCTAGTAGAGCATCACAACCGACCCCGCCTAAGAAAATCTAGTTCATAGTGGAGAAAAAGTGGAGAACATCAGCATTCTCAAATCCATTCTGGCCAAGGAATGCTTCAAATATCACAACTTTAGGCACATTGCATTAAATTTCCCAAACATAAGGATGATCTTATTCAAAAGCAGGGAGGAGTGGAAAACATAAAAAAAAATACAGTAGACACTGAAGGAAGGGATGCAAAGAAGAAGCACCAGCTTCCAGCCGATGAAGGAGAGATGTTAGGGATTTAAGCTAAGCACATGAGAGACTCCAGCGGGAATAATATTGGTTGTCCCAGAAGGTAGTGAGTCTGAAGAGCCGATATCAAAAAAAGAGCAGCCCCTGTTACAGAAGTTGTCAAGTAAACTGACCAACAGTTTAACTCCTGGGTGGTTGACACTAACAATGGTCCAACCTGCCATAGATTTCATTCCAGGGTCAGTTCCCCATAACATACTCAATTAGATAATGTGAAAAACCAAGTATGAGGAGAGGGAGAAGTAGGTTACAATTTAATGATTCAAGATTTGGTTCGTAAGAATGTCAGTCTATGCAGTTCGAACTTTGAGCGTCCCAAAAAAAGATGGTTATTTATTCTATTAGGACATGCTTTGGAATCACATGTGCTTTAGAGTTGCAAGGAATGGATGTGACATAGATATTGTAAGGGGACTGCCTCAAACACAAGACAATGACTTTATTATGGTGATAGTACATCGATTCCAGAAGCCTACAGAGAAGAAGACAAAGCTTCTCCTAGCTAGAGAGAATGAAGCAGGAGCTCCCGCGAAATCTTGCGCTTAGTATCGTGCAATCTGTGAGACATCAGGATTCCAGAATCCAATGAAATCAACACTTTCGCAATATCTACAAGGAAAACCCACAAGTTTCTCGTTCTACTCGCAACTTCAGCAAAAAATTTTGCCTTCTTAGGCTGTCGCGGATCTTGGGGACCCCTCATTCTTATTTTATTATTTCTATATAAGGTTTAATTTATGCATAGGTATAAGTACATTATTTTAGACCTTGCTAAGGAGCTTTTTGTTGTGCTAGTGTATTTTGGAGATTGACTCTCTATTTTCTGCTCTAACGAGTGTTGTATCTTCTTCCTCTTACAAGTAGTGTGTCTGTTTCTTGCTCAGAAATAGGTGGTGGAATATCCTCGTTATTCGCTGGTCAACTAACTATTTTCCAACTGAATAGCTGCCAAATTCCTCCGATCTTTTGTCCCACAATACATCACACCCTCGATACCTTTTCAAGCACCATCTACCCGCTGTTTTCAGACGAGCAACCATCTTTCCTTTCTACTACTATTGTTCAACAACATAATGGAGCTGTCCAACAACATGAAATTGTTGTTCCCTATTTTTTGGATTGTTATCCTGCTGTCATTGACGTCAGAATTCAATCGACATCATTCCTCCCACTCCTGTTACCCATCCTACAACTCCATCTAGGAGCCCTAGAACGGTATCATCATATATTTGGTTCAGCCTCCCTTCTATAAGAAGCTGCTCGGTCCAACGCTAGGTTGCACACACCAAACCTCCTCTCTTCCTGCACGCTTTTGACTCAAACACTCCAAAGAACTACCTCTTTCCTACAATCCTCCTCCTTCCCCTTGCAATTTAACTAGGGGTCGCCTCTTGCTTACTCGAAAACCCTTCCGCGCATGTTGTTCAGCTTGGTTCAGCAACTCCAGCACACAATTCCCACTCTCTTGCAAGCACCTGCATAGGGCAAGGTCGCTAGATTCTTCCTTCACGTGCAAGCAAAGCTCCCCCGATACCGAAGTCAACCCAAATCACAACAAGAATAACAAATATTATTATTGAAATCAAATAGGTGGTTACAACCAACACACATGAAAGGAAAAATACAACAGACAAACCAACACAGCTAGAGTGTATCCCAAGGATGGTGGTAGTGGTTTGAGAGGCTTTAGAAGGTGGTGCAGGAGTAAAAAATACGGTCGGCAAATAGAAAACAACAAGGCTACCGTTTCTCAAACAACAGGGAATGATGCGGGAGGGCCGTCCAGGTGATGTCAACAAGGATGGAGGAGTGAAATGGCAGCGGAAGCAAAAAGGAAAGCGGGGGTGTTGGGGGGGAAGGGGAGTGCAATTAAACGGCTAGAAAGGGCGTTCCTGGGTTGCAACAAGAACAGAGAAGGGCGGCGTCAGCAAAGAAGAGGAGTTGTGGCAATGGCAACAAGATGGAATGAGGGAAACAGATGGTCGGGCGACTGGAACAGCAGAACACAGGCAACAACAATTATTTGGGGTGGCGGTAGCAAGTGGGAATGACAACGACAGCAACGGAGAGGCATGGAACTGCAGGAAAGCCCTTCCACATCTCGAAAGGGCGTTCCTGGGTTGCAACAAGAAGGGAGGAGGGCGGCGTCAGCAAAGAAGAGGAGTTGTGGCAATGGCAACAAGCTGGAATGAGGGAAACAGATGGTCGGGCGACTGGAACAGCAGAACACAGGCAGGAACAATTATATGGGGTGGCGGTAGCAAGTGGGAATGACAACGGCAGCAACGGAGAGGCATGGGACTGCAGGAAAGCCCTTCCACATCTAAACTTAAAAATAAATTGATTAATCTTAAATAACATTTTCACCTTTGGACTTTTCATTCAAAAATTTAAGCCTAATACTCAAAAATTAGATTTCTTGCCTAAATTCCTTCCTTCTCCTTCTCCTTCTCTTCCTCCCTCTTCCTCTTCTTTTCTTCCCTACTTTCTCCTAACCTAAACTTCCCTACTTTCTCCTAACCTAAACTTCCCTACTCTCCTCTTCTAGTTCTTCTTTCTTTTTCTCCTTCCCCTACTTTCTTCCTACTTTTCTTCTCTGTACCCCCTTACTTGACACTCCGTCTTCTTAAGAATTAAGGGAAATGGATAATAATGAGTTAGAATAACTACTAGTATATATTTATAAATTCATATGTACATATATATATACATATATATACATATATATATACATATATATACATATATATATACATATATATATATATATATATACATATATATATATATATATATA